GTCGTCGAAGTTAGGTGGTTTTTAACTTTATTTTTCTATTTTAGAAGCATCTAAGATTATGTATAAACGTTTTTTTGTTACATTAATTTTTTTGATAAATAATTATTTATTAGCATTTGCAAAATACGTATAGTATATACAAATTGATACCAAAATATTTTATGTATTATTGCTATCCTTTATGGTGTAGTATTCAGCTGCTCTAAATTCTTATTCCTAAGGTCGTGGGTTCGATTCACTCAAGAGCATGGTTAAGATAGATATATTGCCAAGTGCAATATTATTACCTTAATTTGTTTACTCCTGCTATTTTTGGTTTGAGTAGTACATAGTATGTACTACATACATTTTGACAACCGATATGGTGTAGTAGTCAGCAGGTCTGACTTCTGATTCCTAAGGTTATGGGTTCAATTCCCACAGGCATGGTTAAATTTGGGTCAATAAAATTGTTGCCAATCTATTAATTTTTGTAATAGTTAGAAGATCTGACATTTTTAAATTTAAGTGTAAAATATTACAAAATACATGTTTTTTTATTATTTATACAAAATAATTTAAACATATAAATGTTATTTATAGCTGTTATTGTTTTCAATCTATTAATTTTTGTAATAGTTAGATCTAACATTTTTAAGGCTTTAGCCTCATTCAGAACCTCGTAATTAGTGGAATAAATTAGTGGTTTCAATTAACGTAAAAGTTTGTCTTATGCATATATGTATATATACATAGTGTTGTTCACAACCAAAAAATTAGTGGTAGTACTTTTCAATTAGTGGAAAAAGTTTGCAAACTTCTAACTTTTACCACTAATTATAATTGGAAAGCGGCTTTGCGCATGTGCGCGGTCATTTTATGTCAAAAGCAAAACGTTTGAAGATTTGCCAGTGAAGGTAAGGTTATATCAATGACTTTTTGCCAAAGTATCGCAAGCAACATAACCCAAATTTCGGGAATTGAAAACATTTTGCTTGTATGTTTTAAATTAAATATAGTCTAAAGATTTTATAACAAGTAATTACTTAGCTTATAATTATAGCTATTTAATTGTTATAAAATATATGGTTTAAAACAAAATAATATTTTAATACAATTAATATTGTTTATGTCAGGTTAAGAAAAATGGACAATCTTTTAGCAAATTCCCTTAATTTTAGATGTTAATTTTGCGCATTGTGAATGATCGTTTTTTGTTAATTATACTTAAGTATAATTGAAACCACTAATTTTTTCCACTAATTACGAAATAAATGTTTTTTTATTATTTATACAAAATAATTTAAACATATAAATGTTATTTATAGTCATGTTATAAAGTACCTATTTTATACATGTTATACATGTTGTTTTATTTTTTCCTGCCATATGCAGACACAATATTTTAACTGTTGGGTAAAGAAATTCACGAAATTGACAATTTCATCAAACAAAAATCAATAATTTGATTTAAAATAACATATTTTACTTTCACATTATTGATTTTTGTTAATGATGAATTTGTTCATTTTGTATTTTTCTTTACACAACAGTTAAAATATCGCACTAAAACTTAAAAAAATTTAAATATCGCGGGTCCGGCCAATAGGAATCACACTCTCTGTTTGTATGTTGGGTTGCCTATCTATGGTTTCATACGCTGCCACCAGAGTTCGCTTTCGACCCCTTCGGGTTTTCTATGAAGTTGTTCGATACTAAAGAGACCTTAAATAGGCGGAAACAGCTGTCAATACTTGAAGTATTTTAAGTTGGTGGAACGCGCTAAAAACATTATCTCTAGCGAGTTGAAGGTTCAATTTTCTGGAATAATACCACTGGTAATATACTAGTAATGCGTTAAGGAACTTCCTGTTTTCTTTTTGTTTCCTTTTATTTCCCAATAACAGTTTAATTATTTTAATTAAGCTAAAGTATTAATACTGATAAAATATTTAATAAATTTAATAAAGTGTCTTGTTTAATAAATCTAAGGTTTTATGCTTAATAAATGGTATTAAGTATTTTCCTAAAAACGTATATAATAAGTTTAATAAAAACAATTAAACGTTTCAGGAATATTTTTATTCCTAAATGTATTAAACGGTTTAATTGTCCCATATGGTATTAAGATTCTTATTTAAATGAATTAAAATTTTAATTAATTTAATTATTTCTTTCTCTCAGTGGGTCGTTGAAAATGAAATATATACATTATATAATGACCCATTGACCATCGGTACAGTTTGTATCGACACATGTTGCAAAAGTGTAAAGTAGGCATTGCAAAGCCGATCCTGAATATTTTTGTTGCGTTTGTGGCGTGTCCATCGTCCGAAAGAAGGGGAATAGAATGACAGAATCGCTGAAAAACGCGTATTTTCACTACTTTGGATTTACTGTCAGTGATTCAGATTCGTGGGTAGCAAACGCCAAAACTCAAATACTCAATTTATAAGTAATAAGGTTTATTACACTATAATACAATACTTATGTAATATAATTAAAAACTGTCACAATAATAAGCAAAAACACAAACTATATTTATACAGTGGTTGTTCTAATTTGATTATTTCTATTTTTATATGGGAACGCGAAGAACATCTTCCAAAACCACGTATCTCCCCAATTAATGCACGTAGTCATTTTAATATATACGGTTAAATCTCCATCAATTTGCGTCATGTCCACTTCCCCATACACAAGAACTATGACTCTGGTTCTTCGGTAAGGGCCTGGTTCGGAACTCCATTTTGGTCCAGCAGCTCTCCAAGAAATTTTTCTAAACTATCACGAGAGTTCTTCGGGAATCTCTCACCGAAGTAATGACTTGCTCGGTTATAAGTACTCCAGGTATCTAATCTCAATAGTGCAAATACACTTTGTAAGGATTGGGTCCTGATTCAAGGTCGGGCAGTAAGGTTAAAGATCGTCTTTTTGAGAGAAACTAAGGAAAACATCGTAAACCTTGTCTTTGTCCAATTCTTCTCCTGTGAAAAACCATAACAACCATCCTTTGTAATACAGCTATATTTTTATGTATTTTTTCCATTTGTAGTAACTTTTAATATTATAAACAATAAAAATAATACTACTATTATAACCCAAGGAACTGTACAAATATTATCAGCATGAATAACTTGTATATTGGTACCATCACATTTAATTTTTGTTTGTCAACCACCTAAAATATTTTTTTTAATACCGAAAATATTTTTTTATAATAAATAATTGAAGAGTTACCTGACTATTACCGCTTAAATATTGTTTTAGTTTTACAGTTGTACAATCACAAATAAATGGATTTTCCCCAAGTTTAAGAGACTTTAAGGAAAATTCATGTAATGAATCAATTATAATTATTATTATAATTATTTGTACATTTAAAAATTAAATATTATTGTGGTCCAAATATATATCCTAAAATGTTTGATTATGTTATTTGTTAGTTCTTTAATTTACGTATTATAAATTTACCTACTTGTATTTTGGGTGGTATCCATGATAAATTTTCTATTTTGTTTCCAGACAATATCAAAACAGTTACATTATCATATCCATCATGTTGAAAAAACCATTCAACTAGGTTATTGTTTTGTAAGTCAACCTTCACATTTTACTTCGATTGTCACCTTTTTTAGGAATATAATTTGGAGCCAAAAATCTTGTAATTTTCTTTAGTTCTTTATTTGAGCCACCCACTATAAATGTCAAATTAAACGGGCACAAAAAGCAATTGCTTATCCATTACAGAGGACATCGGGTAATAAATATTTTCTTTAGTTTTTGTCATCATTTCATTATTGGAACACTTAATTGTTGTATTTTTTAAATTTATATTAAATATTTCAGGTTCAAAATCGGTGTCGAAGATTTCTATGTTGTTATTTAAAATTTTTTATAAATTAGATCCTACCCTCAAAAGTTTGTTAAGTTAAAACATGGGTTTTTAATAAAATTTAAATAAAAAAAATAAATATACTAATTTTATTAATTTTAGTGTAGGACAAGGCGATGATCGCACATTCCGGTATTTTTTCAAACAAATAGAAGATGAATTGGTATTTTTTACATTTATTATTTTTAATTGTTCGACATATTTAAACTAACATAGGTATTTTATTATTTAAACTTTTATTACCGGACAAGTTTATTTCAACAATATTATACGAAAATAAGTGGTTTTTAAAATGGGAGATTTTTTAAGGAATTATTTTCTAGCTCAAGGATATAAAGGTTTTTTAAAGAAATAAAAATTTCACTGGAAAGACTTTTTAATGAATTATTTCCCAAGTTTAGGACATAAAGATTTCCCAAAGAATTAAAAATTCCACTGGGTACACTTTTTAATAAATTATTTCCCAAGTTCATTTAGATTTCCAAAATAATCAAAAGTCCCATTAGGTATAATTGTTAAAGAAATAATTCCTAGATCAAGGATTTTAAGGTTTTTCAAAGAACTAATAATTCCACTGGGTAGACTTTTCAATGAATTATTTCTCAAGTTTAGATTAAACAGGTTCCCCAAAGAATTAAAAGTCCCTTAGGTAGAATTGTTGAAAAAATATTTCCTAGATCAAGGATTTTAGCTACTTAAGTACATACAGGTTTCCCAAAAAATTAAAAGTCCCATTAGGTATAATTGTTAAATTATTAGCTATTTTCGCGGAGCTAATCCCGAAGTAATTCCGGACATCCTAAACATGCGCTTTTTAAAATTTGGCTTTCAAATTGTAAAGTGCGCATGACAAATATTAAAATGCGCATGCCTAGGATGTCCGAACTAGTTCGGGATAAGCACCTCGAAAACACCTATTATTTCTCATGTTTAGTTTATACAGGTTTCCCAATGAATTAAAAGATCCAATAGGTAGAATGGTTAAAAAATTACTTCCTAGGTCAAGAGATTAAAAATTCGACGTTTTTTATAAGTAATTTATAAGTAATAAGGTTTATTAAATTATAATACATTATACAATATAATTAAAAACTATTATAATAATAAGCAAAAACACAAACTATATTTATACAGTGGTGGTTCTAATTTGATTATTTCCATTTTTATGTGGCAACGCGTACAACATCTTCTTCCAAAACCACGGATCTCCCCATTTAATGTACGTAGTCATTTTCATATACGCGCTTAAATCTCCATCAATCTGCGTCATGTCCACTTCCCCATACACAAGAACTATGACCCTGTTTCTGCCTTCGGTGAGGGCCTGTGTGTAAGCGGTTCGGAATTCCATTTTCGTCCAGCAGCTCTCCAAGAAATTTTTCGAAACTATCACGAGAGTTCTTCGTGAATCCCTCACCGAAGTGATGACTTGCTCGGTTATAAGTACTCCAGGTATCCAGTCTCTGTAGTGCACGCAAACTTTGTAAGGATTTTGTCCTGATTCAAGTTCGGGCAGTAAGGTTCTAAGAACGAAATCATCGTCTTTTTCAGAGAAACTGAGGAAAACATCATAAACTTTATCTTTGTCCAATTCTTCTTCCGTGACAAACCATAACAACCATCCTTTGTAATACAGCCATATTTTGATGTATTTTTTCCATTTGTGGTAACATGCCAAAAATAGGGATATTATAAACAATAAAAATACTAATACTAATAATATAACCCAAGGAAATGTACAAATATTATTAGCATGAATAATTTGTAAATTGGTACCATCACATTTAACATTTTGTTTGTCAATCACCTAAAATATTTTTATATTATACCCACAAAATATTTAGTTATAATAAATAGTTGAAGAGTTACCTGAATATTACCGCTTAAATATTCTTTTAGTTTTATAGTTGTACAATCACAAATAAATGGATTTTCCCCAAGTTTAAGAGACTTTAAGGAAGATCCGTATAATGAATCAATTAGTTGTTCATTTAAAAATGAAATATTATTGTGGTCCAAATATAGATACTAAAATGTTTGATTATATTATTTGTTAGTTCTTTAATTTACGTATTATGGAGATACATACTTGTATTTTAGGTGGTATCCATGATACATTTTCTATTTTGTTTCCAGACAATATCAAAACAGTTACATTATCATATCCATCATGTTGAAAAGGGCCTTCAACTAGGTTATTGTTTTGTAAGTCGACCTTTACATTTTTTACTTCGATTTTTTCACGTTTTTTAGGAATATAATTTGGAGCCGAAAATCTTGGAATTTTCTTTAGTTTTCTATTTGAGCAGTCCACTATAAAGGTCAAATTAAACGGATACCAAAAGCAAGTGCAATTTATAGGACAAGTATATCCCTCATCCATTACAGAGGACATCGGATAATAAATATTTTCTTTAGTTTTTGTCATCATTTCATTATTGGAACACTTTATTGTTTCAAAATTAAGTATATTAAAGGTGTTGTTTATGTGTGGAACAGATGTAATAAAATCATAATTTTCCCAAGAACACGAGATTGTTGTATTTTTTAAATTTATATTTATTTTTAGTTTATTATTAGGTTCAAAATCGGTGTCGATGATTTCTATGTTGTTGTTTGAAAAATTATAGAAATTACATCCTACGTTTAAAAGTTTGTTAAGCTAAAACAGTGTTCTTTAATAAAATTTAAATTTAAAAAAATAAATACTTACACTTAATTTCTTAATTTTAGTGTAGGACAAATCATTATCCGTACATTTCGATATATTACAATTGTCATCAGAATATTCAAACATATAGGATGAATTGGTATTTTTTACATTTATGATTTTTAATTGTTCAAAATATTTAAACGAACATATTTTAATATTTAAATTTTGATTACTGGATAAATTTATTTCAACTATATTATGTATTCGTTCAAGAAAAGGGTATTTTGGAAATGAATTAAGTAAATTATGTTCCAAATTAAGGTATGTTAAATTTCGTACAAAATTAAAAATTAACGGATGCAAACTGTGACAAGTTAAAGTATTATTTCCTAAGTCAAGTCGATCCAGGTTTTTCAAAGAATCAAATACACCAATGGGAAAACTTTTTAATAAATTATTTTTCAATTGAAGTTTTTTAAGGTTTTTTAATGAATTAAAAGTTCCCTTAGGTATATTTGATAACGAATTATTTCCTAGGTCAAGGATATGAAGCTTTCTCAAAGATTTAAAAATCCCACTTGGTAAACTCTTTAATAAATTATTTCCCAAGGAAAGTTCGTTTAGGTTTTTCAAATAATCAAAAGTCCCAGCAGGTAGAATTTCTAATGAATTATTTCCTATGTCCAAAAATTTAAGGTTTTTCAAAGAATTAAAAATTCCACTGGGTAGACTTTTTATAAAATTATTTTCCAAATGAAATTTATACAGGTTTTTCAAAGAATCAAAAGTTCCATTAGGTAGAATTGTTAATGAATTATTTCCTAGATCAAAATAATGAAGTTTTTTTAAAGATATAAAAATTTCACTGTGTAGACTTTTTAATAAATTATTTCCCAACTTAAGTGTTTGCAGGTTTTCCAAAGAATGAAAAGTCAAATTAGGTATAATTGTTAAAGAATTATTTTCTAGGCCAAGAAATTTGAGGTTTTTCATACAATTAAAAATTCCACTGGGTAAACTTTTTAATAAATTATTTCTCAAGTTTATTTTATACAGGTTTCCCAAAGAATTAAAAGTTCCATTAGGTAGAATTGTTAAATGATTATTTCCTAGGTTAAGTAATTCAAGGTTTTCCAAAAAATTAAAAATTCCATTGGGCAAATTTTCTAATTCATTACTTTCTAGATCAAGTTGTTTTAAGTTATACAAATCGTGAAATAAGTTATTCGGTAATGTTTTAATATTATTATTCTTTAAACTAATATACAAAAGATTTTTTGACCCCCCAAATATTGTTTCTGGTATGCTGCCTAAATCAGGGCCATATCACCCATTAGGCAGGAAAGGCAATTGCCTTAGGCGCCACGTAGAAATAGGCGCCTTGTCACCAAGCAACATAAAAAAAAATAAAAATTGTTACCAAAATGTTTATTTTTTCCAAAAATAAAACAAATAAACAATATACAATTGTATAACAGAATATTTTGTACTGTTTTTATTATTTTATAAAAATTTACCTTCCTTTGTAATAACGAGGTGTAAAGCCGACAAAAATCGTGCCGCAAATTCACTTCTGTATATATAAACATATCTTTAGGACTCTTTAAACTATTTCAAAACCTCCATATGTTCCAAGCACACGGATTCCTCTTGCATCGGATACCCGCTGTGATGTGCTGCTCACCCTAGCGGGTACGAGCTACTAGAGGAAACTGCTGCCGGAAGGACTTGGGTGTTTTCGCGTTTATTCAAGAGTGGCACTTCTATGTGTTGTGTGTTTGGTGATAGCAGTCTGTGTTCGATAGTTAAGGTTGATTTAGCCTGGCTTTTAAATTAAATTACGTTACGTTAGATTACGTTACAAAAATGCTGGCTAAATCCACATTTAGATAGTGTTAATTTTTCTGTTTGTTTTGAGGTATTTCTGAAATTTTAATATTAAACTAATTACAATAAACCAGCAGTACATCTAACATACAATACAGAAAATTAAAGTTGATTTTATTTTTTTTAAATACTTACTAATGACATCTTGCAGAAAAACGCAGTTATAAGTCTTAACACTTTTTATTTACATTATATTTGTTATTTTTGTATGTTTTTTATGTATTTTTTTAATGATAAAAAGTATTCTAATTCATAGGGAATAATTAGGTTATAATGATCGGGCGCCCTTAAGCTAACAGTTTGGGGTGGCTCTAATAAGCTTTTTTAAAATTTGCCCCGGGCCCCGTAAGTATAGTATCTAGTTATAGGAGCCAAATTTTTAAGTGCCTAAGGCGCTCAATTGCCTTAAGCCGGCTCTGGCCTAAATTACAATTAATTAAACTAAAACAAAGAATTGGTAGGTTTTTAAGATTCCATTTGCTACTTTTAAATACTGTTTTACTCGGGTGACGTTCACAATATCGAAATTCATTATATCGAATTCAAAATATCGAACACTTTTTATCGAAAATCAAAATATCGAAAATACAAAATGTCGAAAATCAAAATATCGAAAATTAAAATGTCGAAAATGATAATATCGAAAATTAAAATGTCGATTTGAAAATGTCGAATAATTAAAATTTCGAAAATTAAAATGTTGAAAATGATAATATCGAAAATTAAAATGTCGATTTGAAAATGTCGAATAATTAAAATTTCGAAAATTAAAATATCGATTTAAAAATATCGAAAATTAAAATGTATGATTAAAATCGAAGTGTATATGTACAGAGGCGCCTCTGTAGATAAAGTTACGGTTATGCACCGAATTATCTTGGCTCCCTGGCTCCTAGAGATGCGCGTTTTATAGAAATGTACTCAAACTCAACAACACAACCCAACCGACCCCGCCCCATTGGCCCCCCCCCGCCCCATTGAGCAAATAACCCAACTAAAATGGGCAAATTCATGTTACGATAAAAATAAAACACTTTTTAATTACATAAATTAGCCCATTTTAGTTGGGTTTTTTGCTCAATGGGGCGGGGGGGGGGTCCAATGGGGCGGGGTCGGTTGGGTTGTGTTGTTGAGTTTGAGTACATTTCTATATCAGAGGCGCCTCTGTACATATACACTTCGGATTAAAATAATATGTCGATTAATTGAAATATTTAAACAAAATATCAAATTCAAAATAAGAAAATATTTCGACATTTTGTATTTTCGACATTTTAATTTTCGACATTTTGCATTTTCGATATTTTGATTTTCGATAAAAAGTGTTCGATATTTTGAATTCGATAAAGTGAATTTCGATATTATGAACGTCGATATTTTATTTTCGATAAATTGAAAATTCGATTAAATAAAATTTCGATATTATCATTTTCGACATTTTAATTTTCGATATTTTGATTTTCGACATTTTGTATTTTCGATATTTTGATTTTCGATAAAAAGTGTTCGATATTTTGAATTCGATAAAGTGAATTTCGATATTATGAACGTCACCCGTTTTACTCATATAAATATTTGCCAAGTTTTTCATTTCAATAAAATCACTTGAATTAAATGCATTAATTTCATTTGATTTAATGTATATATGTTTAAGATTTTTAAATCCTTTAGGAATTATCCGTAAATTTGTATTTTTAATTGTAAATTTCTGAACTTTTGAAAAAACTGAAAGATCTAAATTTGTTAAATTAGTAAATTTAACATTTTCGAAGGTCAATGAATCTAAACGGGGAAACCCTAAAGGTAAATTTGTATTTTTAATTGTTTTATCTATCGTTGAAAAAACTGTTGAATTACCTAGTAAAACTAACATTTTGGAAAGTTAATGAAACTAAAACAGGAAAATTTAAAACAATAACATCGGATAAATTAAAATTCTGACAATCCACAATATACAACTCCAAGTAAAATTTGTTATTGAATCCTTTTAAATTTGTATTTTTTTGGTTTTTGCAATTGAAATGTATCGATTCGACTACTTTAATAAGTAGCAATAAAAATGGTATGTATGCCATCAAACTAAAAACAAATCAAACATATTGACCCCTCAGGTACCTATGTAGTTGAATTTACTCACCTTTTAAAGAAGGCCATTTTAATCCGTCAAAGCCGTGAGAAAAAAATCCACTCTATTTAATTCAAAAGAAATGACATTTTATTTTCAGAAAGGTAGATACGCTACAAAATAAATGAGTTTCCACTTTAAAAATTGTAATAAGTTTCGATTAATATATTATGTAGATGTGTATTAAGTTTAAGTTTAAAAAAAGTTAATACGAACTTTGTACTTTTAACTTTTTAAGTCTCAAAACCAAATTATTTAATAAACCGTAGCAGTCTTAAACCTTCATTATTTTATATCGCTGTTTTAGTTTCCAGTTGATATAATATATTATATATGAGGTAAAACGCGCCAAACCTGCCACCTATCTGACTCGACATTAGCGATTTTCACCAAACTTGTAACAGTTGTATATACGAGGTTGGTTCGGTAAGTCAGTGACTTTTTGAATTTCCCGTGCAGTAACTTTAAATGCAACACTGCTCCCGTCAACTGCTACACTGTTTAAAATATCTGTGGTGTAAAGGGTAATCTTAAAATGGTGTCAAAATCCAACACCATGAATTATGGTTCAAAATGTTATACTCGTATACAGCAAACACCAAAACGGTGTTTATCTAAAAATATTTAAAAAGTGCACCTACACAGAAAAAAAGGATAGTTAATTTAACTATATTAATTTAGTTGACCCATAAGTATTTATTTAAATCGACTTTATGAAGGTTAATAATATAAACAAAGATTAGTTTGACGGTACTTAACCAGATAG